GACAATCCAGTGATCAACAACATGGGCATCGATCTGTGCAATTGGGAACCGATGACATGTGTCAACCAGATCAGCGAGCCTGACCACCCGATCCGTTGACAGTGTAGCGGGCGGGGAAGCTGACAGAAAGCAGAATTCTGGTGGTTCAATTTTGAACATGTAGAACGATGTAATGGGCAATGGTGGAGGATGAGTGGTATAAATTTGGGATTTCGTCTTATCCCTATCTTGCAAAATTCCGCAAGTGTTTAAAGTGTGACCAGTTCTTTAGGAAATGCTAAAATTTCAAACTTACTGCACAACGCAAAGAAACAGTATTTCCGAAGTTTACTAACGCTGTTAGTATGGTTTAGTTATTAAACTGTCACATCGGTCCATAATGTAATGAGATAATTAGTGAGTGAGTGAGTTAATATTTAACGTCACATCGGCAATATCTCAGCCATATCGTGACAAAAACAATTTATACAATAAAAAGTGAAAAATTTTGAAGAGTAAAACCTGTCGACGAAGGACAGTAAAAATACTAGATAATCACAGATATAATATAAAACTAGCGAACAAAACTAAAACATTCCAATTAAAGAAGACAATAAGATATATAAAACACGGGCTATAGATCGCCAACAACTGAAGGTAGATCACCAAACTAGGAACTATGGGGACTGACATTACTTTTGCTACCTGCATGGAGCCTAGCTGGATTTACACTGAGATAATTAGAAAAACATGGTGTAGTGATACCCATGACTAAGCGCCTACAATTTAAAGGCCTTTCTTGACCCACATATATAATATCTGTTTAAAAGGTTCATACATCGGTTCTATGGGTGAACATCGGACATTTTGTTTTCTTTAGGACTTGGCATGTTGTGTGAGTGTAGGACGACGAGTAATAAATACTTGTAAGGCGAATATTGTTGGTTCTTTTGCATCCAAGAGTTTCTGATCAGTAAGTTATATCTTTAAGATTCGTTGTTATGTAATTACATTACATTTTAAAGCGAAGAAGAAAAAGAAATATATATTGTTTTAGTGTCACATGCCGATTTACAACGCACACGCATGTACACATACAGGCGCACACACGCGCACACACGCACACGCACGCACACGCGCACATGGACGCACGGACACACACGCGCATGCACGCGCGCACACATGAGAGAATGTATTTATAACATAAGAGCAAATATGGTTGTCAACATTCAATTAACATTCTCAGTGAGGACACCTGTTCCATGAAGTTCCAGGACAGTATCTTTGTCGTGCAAATTTCGAATGTGCGATATCGTCAATTTAAATGTTTTTATTATCACAAAGTGTGAGATTAACATTCGCTTTTGTCAGTCAGTTCAATCATATTGGGTAATATATAGCTATGTATGTGCAAATCTGCTGTAGTTTGTAAATGTTAACAACTAAATGTTCAGTGTTTTCTTTTCTGGGATCCATTAAACAATTGTGACCACGGAAACTGTTCCTGATAGTGTGATATCTACATTTGTCTCTAGGGCATAGCCCATGTTGCAATTGTTCGTGCAGAGAGTCCTTCCATTTACAAACCCATCCATATTCAGAAGATGTTATGTAAGGGGAAGCTTCTTCTGTTTAACCTTCTAAGTGACAGTTAGAAGCTGATATGATTCATCCCTACGGCAACGGATCACCTAATCAAGAACTGCTCTTCCTAGAATAAGGCTTAGTCTCTGAATATATATAATTTTGATAGTAACAAACAAGCCCATTTATATTGAAAAGGAGCCCTAGGGAGACCAGAGATTCAGCCTGAACCTGAGGAAATCTAGACTTGCTTTATTTGGGGCTTTAGCACTGCAGCGAGGGCTTGGCAGTAGGGAAATTTATGTGGTTCAGGGACTGTGAGACAGACTAAGCTCTTCCCTACCCTTGTCCGTCTGGCTTCAACCATTTTCTGTAATCAAAACAAGCCTCAGTATGTCATCTTCTTCACTTGTATGAACTCAAATACCGTTCATGTATATACTTTTCCTTGTTCATAATGTTGTATAGTATTTGTTTGATAACGGTGTTAGGATCTATATCGAAACTTTGCATCTGTTGAAATAAAGAAGTTGTCTATCCATATAAAATGTTCCTTTTCTTCTATGTATTTAATCATTCAATGTTCATTTATTACTCAGAAAGTGAAATCCCAAATATAAAATCTGTTACATTTGACCACTTTTTAAATGGGGATAGTGTCTTCATAGCATTATTCAATAAGCCGTGCCAATTACAGTTATCGGAGAGTAGTCAAAGACTGTGGCCTGGACTACCTTTTGTACGGCTTCCCTTGTTTATAGAAGCCGCGTTGGCTGAGCAGGTTAGACGCCCTACTTTGTGCGCTGGCGATTTGGTGCCTGACTCTTAGGTGTGGGTTCGAATACCGTATGGGGCTCAACCCAATAAATATACCCGAATCTGTACGTTACTGAGAAAGTGTAATCCTAAATATAACATATGTCATGTGATTATATGACGCCACACATAATATTATGAAGACGTACAATTCCAGACACACCTCAGCTCTACCTCACATTATTTTAAGGTCTTGATAAGTGCGGTGGCAATTAACATTGTATTCATTGGAAGTGGGTTTTAATTGTTTATTGCCAGGACATTCATTAGGAAATTACGACGTTCATATTCCTATTTACCGTACAAACACCATGTGATGTGAGCAGGAGTATTACCCTGGTCAAAAGTTAAAGGACGGTTGTAATAAAACCATTCATTAAATACGATGGTATCTGTAGGCTGGTATGTATATCATGGGTTAATTATTGTTTGTGAGCGTGGAAGTGACATACGGGAAAAGTGAAAAACTGACATGCGTGTCCTGAAGGGCCTGGAGGGAACACTGTCATCAACAATGCCCCCACACGCTGCGATCATCCTCGCTCTGACAGGTCATTACTTTCACAGTATGTTTGTATTGTGTATTCCTAGTACACAGTTTACTGCCAAATCAGCTTAGAGAGAAAACTGAGACAACCAATACGGATTAAGTAGAGTTTTCAAATACGTTGTTGAGCAGATTTGAAGAGTATTAGGATGAATGTGTAATAACAATGGCAGTCACATTTTGACTTGTACGTCTGGTTCCAGTGGTAATTATTTTCAGATGAACATGCATGGGGCCCCGATGGAGCAGGATACGCGCACCGATTGTGCGACCACACATGATGTCATCACTATTTGATATAGATTGATAAACATATGATCATGGTGCAGTTCGATTCCTACAACAGAGGGAGAGCGGAAGGTCGCGGGTTCGATCCCCGACCGCGTCATACCAAAACACGTTAAAATATGGTACTTGTTGGTCCCTGCCTGGCGCTCGGCATTAATAGGTACAGCAAGGACTGGTCGGCTCGGAGTCAGTATCATGTGTCTGATTGGGGTATTCATGCTTCACTGGGGCATGGTATCTCAGTGGGCTAGCACTATAAAACCAGCTTCAGTCTGGGCTAGTACAAGCAGCCGCACATGCACATACACACGCATGCACGTCGTCATATGAGCGAGATATTCTCATGTACGACGTTAAACCCAATTTCACCTCACCTCACCTACAACTGAGACATGTCTTGTGATGACAGAAATGGTGTATTCAAGAACCCATCAGTACAGGTTGATATGTAGTTGTTGCTATAGTTACAGATGTCTTTATCTGTCATCATCTAGTTATTTTTCCGTCCTTTGTGTACAGGTTGTAATCTGAAATTTGTTGTTTTGAAATATTACTGTATAGCTTGACCAAGTCACAATATGGCTGAAATAATGCTGACGTGACTTAAATCAAACTCACTCACTCACTGTTTCTTTCTACGACAATAATTTCTGAAGGACAGGCAAAACATCTTTCTTTTAGACGTCGACGACTTCGAGATGTCCCCAAACACTGGAATCGATTCCACGCGCGGCATGTAGTTGTGATACACTGACGCTGGTATCATTTATACTAATATACCTCGCTGCACATAAAGTTGTGAGATAATGTCGCTGATAGGGTACCACCTTTTGCATGCAATTGTGCCACTGGTATATCGATACAACATTTCACAGATACTTTTGATACTCTACTGACATGGATACAACATTTGGCAAACATCTGATGCACCGCCGATGGTATACATACCACGATTTACGTACATTCGGGACGCACTGCAGCTGGTATGGACAAAACGCTTCACATACAATTGTCTTATGCAGTGCTGATATGAATAGTCCTGCTGGTATCGATAGACCATTTCACATACAATCACGCTAAGTAAGTTTTTAAGTTTTACCTTTCACTTACATTAAGGTTACAATGCCGCACGTTCCCTTGTCACGTTTATGATAGATCATGGTACAATGTCGCTACTTTCGTTGTCTCTGTTTTACATATATGACAATACATTGACACCGCTTTCCGTGTCATGTCCCACATACAATCATGATATACTGCCGTCTCTATTCTGGACTCATTTCATAAACAGTGTGGTGTCTATATGTACTTCCGGGTTAAAGTTGACCGTCGGCCCTATGTGCTTGTCGTAAGAAACAAGTGGTATCACTAACTCGATTCAAGCATTTTATCGTATCAAACTTGCGTAGATCGATGCTTATAATGTCAATCACTGGATTGTCTCGTCCAGACTGGATTATTTACACGTCATACTATTGTCATATACCTAGATGGCGTGAAACAACAGACATTCTAACAAATTCACGGGCCGAGATAACCTGAAGAAGATTCTAATGGAACCTCTAGATATCGGCTATCTGCAGATAACTATCTAGTGTTAGTATATATTCGATTTCACATATGTAAGTGGGATATGTTTTATATGTTGTTGTTTTTTGTCAGTGGGCTTAACATTTTCCCTGTGTATGTAACCATGCCGAAGTTCATTTTGATCATTTCCCGACTTCTTTTTCAATCCACTATGCGGACTCATAATTAGAACCTGGCTTCACTCGGTTCAACACGACCGAGAAGTGTAATGTTCCGGAGGAAGGAGATATACATCAGTATCACTGTCAACGTGACACGACACCAGTAGGGAGGGTCTGCCCACCACTCATACCTCGTAGACAAGCAAGGTACAGAGTCCACAGACTTGAGCTGAAACAAGGTATTCATGTTTATTTTCTGTTTTCGTTTTTACATTTATACAATACTTGCTGTGTGACGAATATGTATTTTCGCATGCATAGGAGGAACGTTGACATAATATGAATGAAAGGCCATTTTTCTTGGACGGTAGTCTTTCGGTGTTGATTTTTCAATGAATTACGGTGTTATGTTCTTTCAGTTTTATTTACTTACAGATTCTTCTGTTATGTTATACATGTTTCAGAGGAATATAGAATATTACACCACTGTCCTTGCGTGGATATTTGAGATACATGTATCTTTGTTTCGTTTGTCTATGGCAGTGGGTAGGGGTCTCACAACTTTAATTCCGTATTTTAAGATTCAACAAGGGAAAATGAAGACCTCACACATTGCAGCGTTTCTGGTTCTCACAGGCGAGTACTTTAACTTATATCAAGAGTGTATGAGTGAACGAGGATCGACGCCCAGTAATGGTCCCAATCTGACAGGTCATCGTGCCCGACACCTCTGTTATCTTCTTAGGTCAAAGGCCAGGCGTGGAAATACGTTACTAGTACTTATGGGGTTGGTGGCTTAGCGGGTTAGGCGGCTGACTCTGTGTGCTGGCGATTATGGATGCCTCACTGTGACGGAGTGGGTTCGAATCACGGATGGGACTCAACCCCAAAAGTACTAGAATCTGTACTTTAGTAAGAAAGTGTAATCCCAAATATAACATATACTACATTTGACCACTTTCTAAATGGCACTGTGTAATCATACATGGAATGGTTTGCTATTTAACGCGCCACTCGGCAGTATCACAGTTATACGGCGTTTGTTTGTAAATAACTGTCTGTACCCGGCAATCTAGTGATCAACACAATGAGCATCGTTTTTCGCAATATGTATACGATAACATGTGTCGACAAAGTTACCCGATCCCATTAGTCGCCACTTACGACATGTATGGGTTGCTGAAGACCGATTCACGTTTAGAAAACTGCACGTTACTTTATTTGTAGCAAAATCCAAAACTGTTTATGCCTAATTTGTATGGGGAACATCCGAATCACACCACTGTATTGACACTTCAAGTATCAGTGACGACTTCGATTCTTTAGTTTAATATTTACTTGAGATGATTTCCTATATGTATATATTCATACATGTGTCGAATACTCGGATAAGTCGATCTGGTACTATGATCCTGACGACTTAGACACAAAGGGGTTTGCCTGTATGATAATAGAATACTCCCTTGTTTTCCTTTCGAAGGACATAACATTAATTCATAAATGTAAGAAAACGTTCAGACGCTTTGTTCGTACCTACGTCTTTATAACTTCACAGACTGCTTATTGAACATTGACAAATGGAATCGGGTGGTCAGGTTTTTTCGTTTATGCATGTCATCGTGTCCCAGATACGTCAATAGATGTTTATTATCTGGCCCAGACTTGATTATTCACTGACCTTCGAAACATTGTAGACACTTGGCTAACCTCAACGTTAACCAACAAAAAAGCTTATTTAACGAATACGTTTAACAGCGATGTGGGTCAGTAATTCATCACAAACCCCGCACAATCTTGAATCAACTAGCCAGGAATGCTAATCCGTTTGTTGCCGCGGCCCATTTGAGTTTGTTTATGGAAACATTTATAAATGCCCAAATATTGCGTGGCGAGCCGAACAAATGTCGTGGACTATTTGCTTAACTTAACCACATACAAATCAAGACACGTAAAGATTCTCTGAGTTAACGTTATACAGTTAACATGCATGTAGAATGAATGATTTTTGTATTCATCAATAACTGATGTTTGTTGGCGATTGGAAGGAGGAAATATAAGTAGCGTGTGTGTCTCTTGCGCAGTCGCAGCAGCTGCTCGGCACCTGCAGAAGAGGGACTGGGTTCCTCCCCTGGACTGGGCTCGGTGTGACGAGCTGGAGCGGCAGTGTAAGAACAATCTGTCAGTGGTCGGGGAGATACTGAATGGTCAGGGACTCAGCACTTTGATCTCTGGCGGCGCCTTGACCATCGACTGCTCGTGAGTAGGCGGATACTAATTTGAGTCCGTCCAACCTTTTGGGTACTCCTCACAAATGTGTGGTGATCGCTGCATGCACTACGATATCAGATCACTAATGGAGTAAGCCGCTGCTCTATGTTTTAGGTGGCCTCAGTTTACAATTATTTTCCTTCTTTGCTATCTACAGTGACATGTAAGTGCACCATAATTAATATCGGTGGTAGGCTGTTCTCCTGTTGCATGCTGACCAACCTGCCACTTGCCACTTAACCGGCAAAATATGGGCCGAAACACACTAGACAGCCTTGAACTTGGGGTCAAATCATGGATGGCTGGTGTCAATATCATGTGCAGATTGTGGACCAATTTTGCAATAAAGTACAATGTCTTACCTTTCATTTAAGCTATCACAAGTCACACTGAACAAATTAGCACAAACAGAACAGCTCATTTAAACAAGACACTATATTCTCCTATTTTCTTTCCGGGTCATGGTAAAAGTTAAGGGGGGTAACTGTGGTCTGAGGCCAGGTAGACCCCTGATTCAGGCAGGTAATACTTACAAAATGGCTTCCACGGACTCGGCTATCTCCGGCACCTTCCGTCTCGGGTCATGGCCTTCAACTTCAGGGTTGGCGAACCCGATCACCACAAATGTCTATCCACTCACTGTACATGGATGTATTGATCGTTCTGTTCTAGGAACCGCTATACGACCTATCCCTAGCTGTTATATTCGGAATAATGAAAAATGGGACATGATTACATTGAAGTTTAAAGTTGTCATGTGGTCCATTTCTCCATAATGTAAAACCAGGAAAACCTCCCAGCTAACACACAACGTTTAGTTTTAGACTGGTAATGTGATGACACAACGTTGTCACAACGTTAGTATTACGTCATTTTGTAACGTTATGTCACAACGTTAAAGCAGGCTTGTATTGGATTAGACTAAATGTTTTTTAATGAACAAGAACAGATTCCGGTGAAGACTTTCTGATTGCTGACATGAAACTGAGTATCACATGTTAGGCAATTACTATTTAGTAATGGCACTGGATGGACGTGGCTTGCACAGGATATAGGTAAGCTCCGTAGAGCACTTTCAAAGTTTAGATGTAGTGCTCATAATTTCTGTATACAAAATTCCCGGCGGGCTAAAAACCCTGACCCTGATGCATCGCTCTGCCTGTTCTGTAGAAACACAGATGAAGACGAGTTCCATGTCCTCCTTGTATATCCTAGTTGTGAGGAGAGCAGACAAAAGTATCTACCAGAATATTATACAAAGCACCCATTTTTGGGTTAAGTTTATAGGACCACTAGCCAACCAAAATGAAAAACTTACCTTGTGTTAAGCAATTTTTATAACAAAGATATTTGAGACTAGAGAGACCAAAGTTTAATCCCTACTGTGCGACTCTGTATACCTGACATTATTATACTCCCAGGTTTATGCACCAAGTCTCAATTACAACTCACGAACTATACATTTCTTCTTATGAATGCATTTTATTTAATGCATCAATTTCAATTTTCTACAAAAGTAAAAAAATATAGAGCGTCCAAACATATATTTACTTTCTCAGTGTATCATATGAGTAGGCATATATATATACTGTACAAAAGTGCAAACATTTAGAGAGTCAAACCATCCAACACCGTCTCTATCTTGGTATGACCCAATATTTTTATTACTAATTCATAGCTAAGATCACAGTGCCGATCCGTCGAATGCATTTTACTACTCTGAAATCAGAAATTCGACGGATCGGTATGGGACCATATATACGTTGTGTAAAAACGTTGTATATCGACTAGTACACAACGTTATGTTTCATCGTTTCTGAAACGTTAACTTTGATGCGACGTAAACTTTCCCTTTTCCGAAAATAGTAAGAGCAAGACTGACATCGAACTATTCGTAATTTCTGCAGAAAACAAGACTAGTGCATTAATTACTTATTACATCATATGATTACCTTCCCATATCTATTCTGAAGTCACAGTAACGTAATTTCCATGCTTATTGACAACGTTAATATCACTGTGCAACGTCACGTCACAGAATCGTGACAATCAATGGGAGTCCATCAATGGGAGTCCTCATGAAAACGTTGTACGGACGCAAGCATAACTTTGTGACAACGTGAAATTGTTAGCTGGGTATACCTTCCACAAACAATATTTGTCACCAAGCACCACTATGGTGTACATCCACACAAGCAAACCATTACTCAAACATATTTAATACTTCTATCTTGATAACCATTTTAAACAATGGTGGAATCGAACCAGGTTGGTGTAAAGTTACTCCAACCACTCTGTTACCCAAACACAGGAAACAGAGTCGAGATGTGACGTATATATTTTTGTGTGTTACGTGCAAGTACAGGCCAAGCAGACTGGCAGCAAACCATCGGCGCATGCGTGAAGTGGGGGGTATTTGTCGCAGCAACCTCGACATTGATGTCCTGATATATACCAACGTGTACAAGTACATTTGCACCAACAGCCAAGGTTAGACAATTGAAAATGGAGGGTCGTAAAACATGATTCTAAACAAACATGCAGGAATTATCTGTACTTTTAAGAAACTCGGTAACTACATGTAAAAATAACTAAAGTCATAGTGCTATATTTCTAACATATCACTTGCAAGGTTATACTGCAACTGTCCCTTTTTTCTTGAAGCGTTCATACAAGCTGAGGGGTGCTTGGGGAGTAGAATCCTGTCTGAGACGAGACGTCGGTGCCATATCAGTTCCAGAGATTACGAGGCCAAATGTCGGTGAGATATTGAGATGCCTCACGAAGCTTATCCTAAACTCTTCTTCAGGTTTAGCTGTTGCATCATGTTTAAAACACATCTTGTTCTTACACACTGATGACCCGCAAAGAACCGAGTAAGAATTGGTCTTCAGTAACCCATGCTTGTCGTAAGAGGCGACTAACAGGATTCGGTGATCAGGCTCGCTGACTTGGTTGACATCATCGTATCCCAATTGCGTAGATCGGTGCCCATGTTGTTGATCCATGGATTGTCTGGTCCAGACTCGACGATATATTGCTGAGTGCGGCGTAAAACTAAACTCAATCACTCACTCACTTACACATTGATGATAGCATTTAGGACACTACGATTTGGAACCGAGAAAATACCAGTTTCATAAACAAACTTTGTTTGGTTTTATTTGTATTTTTACAGGTGGAAGTGTTATTTTGTCAATGATGGACAATGTTTTCTATTGATGCGACATTATAACACAGACATGTTTGAACCCCATTTACTCTAAGATTCCATTGTATTAACTGAATTTGTGAAGTGTTGTGGGAATGGCCAGAGAGGATTGTCTTGTGTATTTCAAGGGATCGGCATGATGATTTACACAGAAAGGTAGATTCTGTCATCTCCACTTGGAGTATTTCACGGCCTACACTATGACGTAACCTCTGACTTCAACTGGTTTCAGGGAAGAACCTGTTTGCATCCAAACCCACCTGAGTAACACAGTAGAATGTTCCTTGTCTGGAGCGACCCCAGAGCTGATGGGGAACATGACCAGGCTACAATACAACTCCTTCTTGGACAACTGTCATTACTTGATGTAAGTCAGTTCTTAGATGCGATCTGTTTATATACTGATATATATATTTCTCTGAACACTTCAGACTCATACTTTTTAGAGTATTCAAATGCTTTAGTGCTACAGGGCTGGCAGAATATGAACTTTCGATAACATTCAAGTACGATGTTAGTACAAAGTTCCATTAGTTTATCAGGGGAAACATCTTTCTAAAGTTGTGGTTTAGTTTCAGTGACAGCAAGGCGGTAAGCCCAATCTATCAGCACTCCATTAGGTGCTGACATACCTTGAAGTTTTGGTTACCAGCTAGTATAGTAGTGTCTCTTTTAAATACGTGTCGTACAAATATCAGTCTGGTTTGAATTCAGTTATCATTCCGGTTCTGCGTTTTCTATATTTTTAACTTTCTAAAATTGTATGTCATTTTTATGAAAGCGGTAATTGATATCATTCCATATGCCCTCTGTAGATTGTCTTCACAAGCTGAACTGCCAAACCATGAAACTACTTAAAGATTATTAGTTTGGATGACGCTACTTACACAGAGTAGACAATCACCAGCGGAAATTGTTAATGCCTCTTTGGTATCATTTCAATACATTTTATATCATTTCTTTGTCACCTTCTGTTTCAGGGGTGAGCTTGTGCGGATGCAGTTGTTTCACTGAGAAGACATTCAAATTCAGAAAACCTATCAAGACTACTGATTTACGAATAAATGAAAAATCATATTGTCTCCCATATTGTTGTTATTGTGTTTTACAGACTACGATATTCTGACATACGAGCACCTCTGATGTCATGGCATTTGCAATTAAACGTATATATACTGAGGGAAAGCAGCATGAAAGTACAAGTGTTCCTGTATTCATCTTCCAAGTTTCTTCGCTGGCTCTGTGGTCTTAGGCTAACTGACTTGACTGACATGGCCACCTTTTCCGAATTAGAATATTGATGCTCATGATGTCAATCACTGGAATGTCTACCAGTTAAGATCCGGGTTAGAATATTGATCTGCAGTAACCCATGCTTGTCTACCCGTGAAGATCCGGGTTAGAATATTGATCTGCAGAAACCAATGCTTGTCTACCTGTGAAGATCCGGGTTAGAATATTGATCTGCAGTAACCCATGCTTGTCTACCCGTGAAGATCCGGGTAGAATATTGATCCTCAGTAACCCATGATTGTCTACCCGTTAAGATCCGAGTAGAATATTGATCTTCAGTAACCCATGCTTGTCTACCCGTTAAGATCCGGGTTAGAATATTGATCTTCAGTAACCCATGCTTGTCGTAAGAGGCGACTAACGGGATCGGGTGGTCAGGCTCACTTTGCTGGTGCATTGCTGAGTGTAGCGTTAAACAACAAACAAACAAAACACAAGCCTAATGCTCATGATGTCAATCACTGGAATGTATGGTCCAAATGTGATTATTTACAGACCACCGGCATACAGCTGGAGTCTTGCTGAGTGTAGCGTTGAACAACAAACAAAGAAAACACAAGCCTAATGCTCATGATGTCAATCACTGGAATGTATGGTCCAAATGTGATTATTTACAGACCACCGTCACATAGCTGGAGTATTGCTGAGTGTAGCGTTAAACAAACAAACAAACAAAACACAAGCCTAATGCTCATGATGTCAATCACTGGAATGTATGGTCGAAATGTGATTATTTACAGACCACCGGCATATAAGTGGAGCATTGCTGAGTGTAGCGTTAAACAACAAACAAACAAAACACAAGCCTAATGCTCATGGTGTCAATCACTGGAATGTATGGTCCAAATGTGATTATTTACAGACCACCGGCATATAAGGGAGCATTGCTGAGTGTAGCGTTAAACAACAAACAAACAAAACACAAGCCTAATGCTCATGGTGTCAATCACTGGAATGTATGGTCCAAATGTGATTATTTTACAGACCACCGTCATATAGCTGGAGTATTGCTGAGTGTAGCGTTAAACAACAAACAAACAAAACACAAGCCTAATGCTCATGATGTCAATCACTGGAATGTATGGTCCAAATGTGATTATTTACAGACCACCGGCATACAGCTGGAGCATTGCTGAGTGTAGCGTTAAACAACAAACAAACAAAACACAAGCCTAATGCTCATGATGTCAATCACTGGAATGTATGGTCCAAATGTGATTATTTACAGACCACCGTCATATAGCTGGAGCATTGCTGAGTGTAGCGTTAAACAAATAAACAAACAAAACACAAGCCTAATGCTCATGATGTCAATCACTGGAATGTATGGTCCAAATGTGATTATTTACAGACCACCGGCATATAAGTGGAGCATTGCTGAGTGTAGCGTTAAACAACAAACAAACAAAACACAAGCCTAATGCTCATGGTGTCAATCACTGGAATGTATGGTCCAAATGTGATTATTTACAGACCACCGGCATATAAGTGGAGCATTGCTGAGTGTAGCGTTAAACAACAAACAAACAAAACACAAGCCTAATGCTCATGATGTCAATCACTGGAATGTATGGTCCAAATGTGATTATTTACAGACCACCGGCATATAAAGTGGAGCATTGCTGAGTGTAGCGTTAAACAACAAACAAACAAAACACAAGCCTAATGCTCATGATGTCAATCACTGGAATGTATGGTCCAAATGTGATTATTTACAGACCACCGTCATATAAGTGGATGCATTGCTGTGAGTGTAGCGTTAAACAACAAACAAACAAAACACAAGCCTAATGCTCATGATGTCAATCACTGGAATGTATGGTCCAAATGTGATTATTTACAGACCACCGGCATATAAGTGGAGCATTGCTGAGTGTAGCGTTAAACAACAAACAAACAAAACACAAGCCTAATGCTCATGGTGTCAATCACTGGAATGTATGGTCCAAATGTGATTATTTACAGACCACCGGCATATAGTTGGAGCATTGCTGAGTGTAGCGTTAAACAACAAACAAACAAAACACAAGCCTAATGCTCATGATGTCAATCACTGTAATGTATGGTCCAAATGTGATTATTTACAGACCACCGTCATATAGCTGGAGTCATTGCTGATTGTAGCGTTAAACAACAAACAAACAGAACACAAGCCTAATGCTCGTGATGTCAATCACTGGAATGTATGGTCCAAATGTGATTATTTACAGACCACCGTCATATAGCTGGAGCATTGCTGAGTGTAGCGTTAAACAAACAAACAAACAAAACACAAGCCTAATGCTCATGATGTCAATCACTGGAATGTATGGTCCAAATGTGATTATTTACAGACCACCGGCATATAAGTGGAGCATTGCTGAGTGTAGCGTTAAACAACAAACAAACAAAACACAAGCCTAATGCTCATGATGTCAATCACTGGAATGTATGGTCCAAATGTGATTATTTACAGACCACCATAGCTGGAGCGTCATATATGCTGGAGCATTGCTGAGCTGTGTGGCGTTAAACAAACAAACAAACAAAAACACAAGCCTAATGCTCATGATGTCAATCACTGGAATGTATGGTCCAAATGTGATTATTTACAGACCACCGGCATATAAGTGGAGCATTGCTGAGTGTAGCGTTAAACAACAAACAAACAAAACAAAACACAAGCCTAATGCTCATGGTGTCAATCACTGGAATGTATGGTCCAAATGTGATTATTTACAGACCACCGGCATATAAGTGGAGCATTGCTGAGTGTAGCGTTAAACAACAAACAAACAAAACACACAAGCCTAATGCTCATGATGTCAATCACTGGAATGTATGGTCCAAATGTGATTATTTCACAGACCACCGGCATATAGCTGGAGCATTGCTGAGTGTAGCGTTAAACAACAAACAAACAAAACACAAGCCTAATGCTCATGATGTCAATCACTGGAATGTATGGTCCAAATGTGATTATTTACAGACCACCGCCTCATATATGTGGAGCATTGCTGGCGTAGCGTGCTTCCACGCTTACGGTGTCAGCGTATGGTCCATTGATTATTTACAGACCACCGTCATATGGGCGGGAGAGTGTATGTTATGGTAGTCAATCACTGGAACGTTAAGCAACAAACAAACAAAACACGTAGCTTACTAATGCTCATGATGTCAATGGAGCATGATTATTTACAGACCAATGAAGGAGCTGGAGCATTGCTGAGCGTTAAACAACAAACAAACAAAACACAAGCCCACGCTTCCACAATCACTGGAATGTATGGTCCTGTGATTATTTACAGACCATTAGCGTCATATATGTCAATCACTGGAAATGTATGTATGTCCAAATGTGATTATTTACAGACCACCGGCATATAAGTGGAGCATTGCTGAGTGTAGCGTTAAACAACAAACAAACAAAACACAAGCCTAATGCTTATGGTGTCAATCACTGGAATGTATGGTCCAAATGTGATTATTTACAGACCACCGTCATATAAGTGGAGCATTGTTGAGTGTAGCGTTAAGCAACAAACAAACAAAACACAAGCCTAATGCTCATGATGTCAATCACTGGAATGTATGGTCCAAATGTGATTATTTACAGACCACCGTCATATAGCTGGAGCATTGCTGAGTGTAGCGTTAAACAACAAACAAACAAAACACAAGCCTAATGCTCATGATGTCAATCACTGGAATGTATGGTCCAAATGTGATTATTTACAGACCACCGTCATATAAGTGGAGCATTGCTGAGTGTAGCGTTAAACAACGAACAAACAAAACACAAGCCTAATGCTCATGGTGTCAATCACTGGAATGTATGGTCCCAGTGTGATTATTTACAGACCACCGTCATATAGCTGGAGCATTGCTGAGGAATGTAGCGTTAAACAACAAACAAACAAAACACAAGCCTAATGCTCATGGTGTCAATCACTGGAATGTGTGGTCCCAGTGTGATTATTTACAGACCACCGTCATATAGCTGGAGCATTGCTGAGTGTAGCGTTAAACAACAAACAAACAAAACACAAGCCTAATGCTCATGATGTCAATCACTGGAATGTATGGTCCAAATGT